GTCAAAGGATATTACTAGGTAACTTAGTGAGATCTGTCACAAAATAAAAAAAGAATTTTAAAGGATTTGGGGTGTAGCCCAGGGGTAGACCACCCTCAGATTCTATTCTCAGTACTGCCAAGAGTAAAAAACAACTAACATCCATGTTGGAACTACACTTGTTCATCAATTGCAACAATTAATCGCCTATAGATACAAGAGCTTGGCAAAAATCAATCAAAGCATTCTGTAAAGAGTAAATTGGCCATATGCAATTTTCAACAAGAGTACTATATATTTTATTATTTGTGTGATATGTGTCACTATCAGTTAACTTACACACACACACACACACTTTTTTCCAGTGCAATGAGTTGTTACATATTTACCATCATAAAAGTGCTGACAGGCAACCCAGATTTAGCATGTCCAAACCTGAACTTGATTTTTCCATCCCTAACTAGTTGCCCCTGCAGAAGTCCTCATCTCAATTAATAGCAAGTTTTCCTACCTGTTGCTCTGATCAAAAACCTGAAAACTTCTATGACTCTTCTTTCTACTACTCTCTATCCAATCTATCAGCAAATCCTTTCGTCTGTACGTTCAAAACATACTGAGACTCTGACTAATTCCCTCACCTCCACTGCTCACATGTTGCCTCACGTGTGTTCTTGCTCACCCTCCTGACCAGTTTCCTTGTCTCAGTACTGCACTTGGGGTGATTCTGTTAAAACGTAAATAAGAATTGTTCTGTCTTGGGTTGGTGATATTGCTCAGGGGCAGAGTACCTGCCTAGCATGCATGAGGCCCTGGTTTAAATCCCCAGCACTGAGGAGAAAGGAAAAAGGGTGGAGGGCAGAAATGTCACTTACTGGTTGAAACCTCTCAGTGTTTTCTGTGTCACTCATGTCAGAGGCAGTCTTCACAACAGCTTATAAGACTGTTCAGTACTGTGCACCTGTTCTGTTAGCTCTCTGGCATCCTTCACTCCGCTCCCACCACAGTGGAAGCGCATCATGCATCCAGACGCTCACCTTGGGGCCTTTGCACTTCACTTCTGTTTCCTTTACCTGGTTTACTCTTTACCTTCTTTAGGTCTTTGCTCAAATACTATTTTCGCGATGAGGCTTCCCGATCATTTAACTTAAAATTGCTATCCCTCTAACTACCACCACGCTGTCCCTCTCCCCCGCTAATCATCATATAAAGTACCATAGGTTTTGCATAAGTTTTAGTTTTTCATCCATATTCCACACACAGTAAAATGTAAGTTCAAGGATTTTTTGTCTGTCTTTTTCACTAGTGTATTAAAAGCCTTTCAAACAGTTTCTTGCACATAGTAGGTGGCCAACAATTTGTTGAAAAAACAAAACACTAAGAGCATTTTAAGTACCCATAAAGAGTGTCATGGAGCTTATTATAGGAAAGAGGGGTGGCGGGGATCCAGGAGGGAGTCTCTGTACTTCCAGATGTTCACCTGAGAGTTGCCTGTGGGTTTGCCAGTGCCTGCGGATCTCCCATGTGTGTAGATGGGCCACCTCGAAATAACTGTGCTCTTCCAAACACACCAAAAATTCATAGCGGACTGAAAACAAAGCGAGAAAATATATGCTGTTGGCTAAAATCAACAGGTCACAGGGAAGTTTAAGAAAAATGAGTACTTACCAAGTATCTAGTGTTACTCCAGGAGGACACATGTTTCAGACAAACACCTACCCACCCTCAAGATACTTCCAGTCTGGTGGGGGAGACAATTACACAATATTACCAACAGCCAGCAACAACAAAATGTATGTAGCAGGCACAAAGCAGCAAAGAGAAGGGACAGATTAAGAATAGCAGTAGAGGGAGATGATACCTGAGTTGGGTTTTGAAGCATGAACAGAAATGCCCCAGGGCCAGGGATGTAGCTCAGTAGCCCAGCACCCACCTGATAAGCACAAGGCTCTAAGTTTGATTCAAATGCAATCAGTTTGTACCAATCGGTTTGATTGGTACCAAAACAAAAAGAAAGAAAGAAAGAAAGAAAGAAAGAAAGAAAGAAAGAAAGAAAGAAAGAAAGAAAGATCCCCAAAAGAAATTTACAATAGAGAAACACATCACTTTTTGGGTCTTTTTGAGACAGTGTTTAACTATTCAGTTCAGGCTGGCCTTGAACTCACTTTGTAGCCCATGTTGGCTTCGAGCTTGCAGGAATCCTCCTGCCTCAGCCTCCTGAATGCTGGGATCACAGGCATGTGCCACCATGCCCAGCTGAGAAACATGTCACTATTAACTTTTCCTCATCTAGTAGAAATGTCCTCCTATCTGGATTTTAACAGCAATAGCTTGTCCAAGCTTGAAAACTGCTAGCTGTGTAAAGCAGAATTTGGGACATGAAGGAAAGGCTGAGGGGAAGGGACATGACAAAAAAAAAAAAAAAAGAGAGAGAGACCAATGGCTTCATAGGAGCAGAGTAGCTATAAATAGTCACAAGAGCATCACAGGTTTAAGGGCAGCCACTAGAGAGGGAGGGGACAGAAGGAGTAGGAAGGGCAGGGGCCTTTGACTTATGCTGTGGCCTTTGCCTGGAGCACTTTCTCCCCATCTCCTGATAATGCTGTCTGCTCCTAAAGACAGAGGCCACCTTGGTGCAGAAAGACCACTCTCCGACATCTGAAGGCCTCCACCACTGAAGTCTTAACTGTGATCTTGTGTTCCTCCTCAAACAGCCTTGCTTTGATAGCGACTGACGGGGCACTTAAGGCCATTCTTCCTCTGGACCCTGAGGACCCCTCCAGCCTCATCTGCCCCATGTCCCCTTCTAACCCCAAACAGTCGCACCCTCCTCTCAGGCTGTCTCCATAGACACTGCTGCCCTTTGCCTTCCACCTCCTTGCCTGAAGAATCCCAATTCCCCTTTGAAGACGCAACTGCTCTCACCACCTCTGGGCCTCAGTCCTGGAGCCCCCGAAGCACCTGGACCACACCTGCTCTAATCAGCTTTCTCTGTTTCTCAGTGCATCATGCTCCTGCCCCCAGGGCCTCTGCACTTGCTTCCCTGTTTCAACCTGGTTGATTTCTACTCATTCATCAGAATTCAGCTCAAACCTCCCTTCTCATGGGAAGCCCTGTTTGGCTCCCTAGGCTTGGGGGTCAGGGGTTGCTTACCATAATAGTTTTAGAACTAAGTTTGAATTATTTAATGCCTGCCTGTATTTCCCTAGGTAAGAACCACAACTGCCTTGTTTATCATAGCATTAGATACCCATAGCAGAACATGCACAGAACAGGTCCGAAGGAAGTGCTCAGCCCTTACCACATTCTCCTGTCTCCTGTTTACTGGGCTTATCTCACAGTAGTCTGGGAGCACTTGGAGGACGAGCTCAGGGTCAGCCCCCAGTCCTCCGTGCCCCACTTCATGGAGCTCCACGGCTTTTCTGAGCCAGGGTGCTGTCATGGGTGCTGCCGATAATCCCCTGTCATTGGAGACTTGGGACACCAGCTGCTGGGAGCACGGTCACCACAAAGCCCCCCTGGGTGTTACTAATGTGGTGGGTTCTTGTACTTTCTACCAGAAGCGTTGGACAGAAGCACTTTAGCACAGGAAAAAGGTTTCTATTTGTAGGCTTGAGCCCAAGGAGAAAGGGAAGGCAGAAATCCCAGGCTGATCCAAAGGCAAAGATTTATAGCTCTTACAGTATCTATGGGGTAGGCAAGGATCCAGTCTCTACGTCATCACACACAGAAGTGGAGTTTGGTTTCTCCTCTTCCTCTTCCTCCTCCCCCTCCCCCCTCCTCCTCCCCCTCCTCCTCCTCCTCCTCCTTTTTTTGTCTTTTTGAGACAGGGTCTCACTATGCACTTCAGGCTGGCCTTGAGCTCACTTTGTAGCCAGGCTGGCCTCAAACTCACAACAATCCTCCTGCCTCAGCCTCCCAAGTGCTGGGGCTACAGGCCTGCGCCACCACTCCCGGCTTTTTTGGTTGCTTCATCATACCTCCTCAGGTGACTGTCTCATGACCATGTTAAGGCCCCATCTTGGTATGACTATAAATTAGTGACTGTTCAAGGCATGCACTGGTCCCTTATCACCTGGAAGCTGCCCTTTATCACCTGGGAAAGTTAGTTCTTAATTGGGTTTTGGAACAGGGCAGATCACTCCCTTGCCCCACAGGGTTTGATTTTAATGATCTTGGTTTCTTTGGATCTGGCTTGTTGATGTCTCTGCTGCCCACATAGTCTTCGAAGGCTGAGCTGACTTTCCATCCTCCCATCTCCTGGTGTGTTATCTTAATTTCATAGCCTTGAAGACTGGTCCTCTTTTGCACTACCAATTCCCTGGGATGGGTGTTAACCCGCTGACCGAGGGGTAGCTTAGCTGTCACACAGATCCTGCTGCACTGGCCGCAGCCAACTCCACATCCAGATGGGCGGGGACGGAAAAGGCTGGCTATCTTAGCTCACCTGCTGACCTCTCTGACATGCCAGTCAGGCTCGGAGCCCAGGACTGTCCTTGGGCCTGCAGGAGCTCTCCGCCAGTGCAGAGCCACAGACGCTCCCTCCCGCATGCAGTCTCCATCTCAGCTCCGCTTCGTCTCTTGTCTCGGGCCCTCAGTATTTTCTGAGCTGTCTGGAGGCACCCTTCAGTAATGAAAGAGTTTCCCGTCCGCTGTTCTATTCCAGCCCAGCACTCCCATCCTACACTGCCTGGGTGGACTACGCAGGGAGGCTAGCCCCCAGTCGATCACCAGGTGGGGAAACTGAGGCTCACAGTGGCGGAGTGGCCAGCCTGAGGCCATGCAGCAATTAGAAGCTGAGCTCTCAGGTTTCCACGCCCTCTTCCTACCAAGTCCCAGCATCCAGAAACGGACAGGGAGCCTCACTGAAAAGAATCCTTGGGGCTGGGGATTTAGCTCAGCGGCACAGCGCCTGCCTGGGCAGGCACTGTCCCAGGGAGAACTCCCGAGGTCGGGAGTTCGATCCCCGGTCCGGGGGGAAAAAAAAGAAAGGAATCCTTGCCCTGGTGGGGAGAATCACGGCTCTGGGGTGCGGGCAGGCGGGCAGGGGGGCAGGCGGAGTGGCACGCTTCCTGAGAACGGCTGGGGAAACTGAGGCCCAAGCCCGGCCCCCCACCGCCGCGGAGGACGGGAAGGGGCGCGTCCTGCCCCTCGGGCCGCCTCCTCCCGCCCCCCACGCCGCTCCCCGCCGGGTCCTCGCCTCCCGGGGAGCGAGTCATGGCGGCGGCCGCGGCGGCGGCGTGGCTGCTGCTGTGGGCCGCGGCGTGCGCGCAGCGGGAGCGCGACTTCTACGACTTCAAGGCGGTCAACATCCGGGGCAAGCTGGTGTCGCTGGAGAAGTACCGCGGCTCGGTGAGTGCGCCCCGCGGCCGG